CCACGAGTTTAGTGCAAAAGCTGGTGCGTTCCAGCCTTTTTGCTGTGTAACGCTGTGGCGTTGCTACAGTGAGTGTTGGGAGCAAGTGATCTTGCTCTCCCCTTTCGAGAACGTTCCATCGCGCAGATCTGGAGCGTAGATCGACTGGAGAATTTAGGGCAGTGTATCGACGATCGACAGGATTGTGCGGCCGACAAGGATCGACGTCTTCCCAACAGCAGCTTCGTCAGCGGCTCGAGAAACGTGGAATTGGAACGCCGAACGGACCGTGTTGACCGTGGTACCCCGGTCAGCACCAACCGAAGAATCATAGACTTGGAGCTCCGCAACTGCCAGTTTGATATTTTCTGTTGTACTAATAAAATCGAACTCAACGTGTGTCGCAACGGACACAACAGCGAGCAATAATTGGCCAATGCACGGGGTGCCCGTGCGAAGATGCGTTTTTTGCATAGTTTCCCGCAGTTTTTTTCGCTACCAGCACCGGTTTTTTCAGCAAACGCTTCTAGCTAAACAAATTAAGACTGGCCGCCAGAACTGTCAGGAAACACTCTCTTAAAATTCCAGCTTTTTAGCTTTCCTGGCTCCTGAGTTAGCAACTTACTGGAGAAAAAATTCCACGGACCCGCACGTGGGTACCACGCATGCCGATGTCTGGGTTTGAGCTCGTTGACTTACGTGTATAGTGAACATCCTCTTAAAACTATAGTCTTCTAGGTTTTCGGGTTCTCGAGTTAGCAACTTACCCGAGAAGCCCAGAACTTTGATGAGCCCGTGCGTGGGTACCACGCATACCCGAAGGCTGGGTTTGAGTTGAATGAGATTTAGGTTGACGGGAATATCCTCTTAAAATTACAATCCTTTGGCTTTTCAGGTACTGGAGTCATCAACTTACCCGAAAAAGTTTGGCAGGCCCGTACGTAGGCACCACGCGTACCCGGGGACTGTTTGAAGCTCATTAAGACTTACGTGGACAGGGAACATCCCCTTAAGACTTCAGCTTCCTAGCTTCTCAGATCCCCGAGTTATGGACTTACTCGTAAAAAACTTTGGCGGGCTCTTACGTTGGTACCACACGGGTAACGGCGCCCATTTGGTGCATGTAGATTAAGCTACCAAAGTTTCAGCCCTGTAGCTTTTGTGGGTCTTGAGATGGAAAACCGTGACAGACGCACACACAGACACATGGACGCACAGACAACCCCTCGTCAACGTGCGTTTTCTGCACTGCATAGCTGCAAAAAACGTATATAAATGCATGATGCGACGACTTTTGGGGGTTTAAGAACTCTTAAGAACCCCGGCCACGCTAATAAACCAAGCAGTGTCAGCGACATAAATCTATTACTGACAGGAAGAGGGCATAGAAAACAGGGGGCTTGGGACTGTGAAGCAGAAATAGTGACTCTGAGATAATTTCAACCATACTACTGTCAAATTCTTTGAAATGACGCATTATACTTAATTTTTCAAAATCATCGCGACCGGTAAGTGTATATGACTGGACGGCAAGGAGGAGCGAACATGTAAACCCACAAAATTGTTATTGGGCAACATATAAAAAGCATACCTTCCAGTGCGCAAAACTAGAATTCGGCCCGGTTTCCTCTTCTTCTTTTAGAAAGTAAGCGGTTGCTTCCACTGCTTCACCTCCGAAAACGATCAGGGTAAGCGGACCACCAAAGCTTACAGTTGTTTCAGCTTGAGGCGAATGAACAACTGGAGGCTCCGTTGCGGGAAACTGCAAACTCCACGATTCGCTCGTACCGTTTAGCCCTCCGTACATTCTTCAATGGCAGAAAAAATAAGGAGTAGTACGGCGCGATATAATTTCGTTGTAGTCCTGTATATTCGGAAAAAGAGGGGAAGACAAAGATACCGCCTAAAAGTTAACAAGCAGAAGAGATCAGGGGCCAGGGCATTGTCGTTCTTGCTTCGAAGCATTAAGCACCAGGACTGTCTACGTAAATGGGTCAGTGAAGAAAGCGTGGACCAAGAGACACCTTCGTACAGAACAAAATCAGTCAAAAAGTATAGCGATATCATCAGTATTGTTTACCTGGGAAAATTGTCGCAAGTGATATAATTCACAGCCGCATATATTGGTATTTTTTGGGCCTCAGGCAATGATTTGAGGAGGCGACAAATTTCTTTGGCACGTTGATGAGCGCCATAGTGGCAACGCTCCCCTGGCGCACAATTACTGATCAGAATGACACCTTTGATTGTATTCTAAAAGTGTTATTGTTTACTGATTAAATAACAATTGGCAATTGAAGTACTGCCATAATTAGGATTTCGAGAAAGGGGCCGCCAGGATTGCTCAAAAACTGACTTGCAGTAGATTCCTTGTCAACCCAAAATCCGTTTTTATGCGTTTTTGCCTATATATAAATTGCAAAAACGCATATTGGGACGACCCTGTCTGTGTGTGTGTGGTATTTTATGTGTGTGTGTGTGTGTGTGTGTTCGTCTGTCCGGGTGTTCAACTCGGCAACCAAGCAAGTTTCAGTGCCGAGATTTTGCTATTGGGTACCCCGGCCAAGTACAACCCCAGAACCGCGAACCATCCCTCATGCACGTCTGGGCCCCGCTTGCGAGGAGGTGAAAGTTTTGGCGGGAAAATTGATAACTCGAGAACGGGAAAAAATAGACGGCTGAAACTTTGGAAATATGTGCCCATTCCATGCGCGACCCTCCCGTTTTAATTTCTTGGGTGCCGCGTACTGACGCTTTAAAAAATGTACAAATTTTTTGACGGAAAAGCTATCTCGGGAACCACTCGAGCTAAGGGGCTGAAACTTTGTAGAGATATTCTTTGTGCATGTACTGCCTAAAGATTTTAAATTCAGTCCGCAGGTATGCGTGGTACCCACGTAAGAGCGTATGAAAGTTATAGAGGGGAAATTGCTAACTCGATTACCAGGAAAGCTAGAAGGCTGAAATTTTACGGTACTATTCTCTGTCCAAGTACAACTTAAATATCTCAGATCCTGTCCTCAGTTATGCGTGGTACTCACGTAAGGGCGTATGAAAGTTTTAGGGGGAAAGCTGCTAGCTCGGGTACCTGAAAGGCTGAAATTTTCAGAGAATCTTCCCAGCCCATATACGACTTGAAGTTATCAAACTCAGCCTCCAGTCATCCATGGTTCTCACGTATGACCCTGTGAAATTTTTTGGTGGGAAAATGACTAACTCGGGAACCAGGAAAGCTGGGGGTCTGAAATTTTCAGGGAATGTTCCAAGCGCAAGTACGACATAAACCTATCAAATTCAATCCCCATTCATACGTGATTCTCATGTGCGGCCCCATGAAATTTTTTTGGCGGGTAAATGACTAACTCGGAAACCAGAAAAGCCAGAAGGCTGAAATTTTAAAGGGATGTTCTCAGCCTGCGTACAACTTAAAAATTCCAAACCCAGCTCCCAGGTATGCTCCTAGGTCACATACGGCCCTGTGAAAG